CTGTCCAGATTGTTCATAAAGGTCTGCATGTTAATACTACCCATATTGGTGCACCCATACCTAAGTTACAAATGTATACAGTGAGCTCTTTAGCTTTAAAAACTGCAACTATCACAAGCATCGTAAACGTGGAATATTGCTTTTGTTTTCCAAGTACACGTAGTCTGTTTTTCATTTTGAAATTTCTCTGTCAATGACATTCAATGCTGTTCTTTTTTCATTCTCTGAGAAGTTACTGAATGATTTCTAAAGATGGTAACGGGAACTCGTTTCCCTAATTTGGAACCGGTTCCCGACACTCGGGTACCCGTTCCCGATGCACAGCCCTACAATTTGCCTAACAAGTCACATGCGATAATTGCATCCCCCTTGTGCAACAACCCACGGTCCATTTTAGGGAATACACAAAATAATTCATCTAGCCATCTCAAACTGCATTCAATCAACCACCAACAAATGAACTACAATGCCCCCTGTTACAGGCAATTCATTTCTCAATTAAAATCAATTCCCAGATGCCAACTGTTGCTTAGCAACATAAAATGAGGGTATGTGTGCGTGCAATTACTTACCAGTCCATTTCCTGTCTAACACTGACAATGAAGTGACTTGCTTTATTAAGGCCAAGCACTATAGGCTACATTTATGAGCAAATGAGTGGTATGGTCTGTACAGTGAAGGCAGCTCAAGAACATCTGCATAGAACATACATGTACATGATGTACATGTATGGGTTATTCTATAAATTACGGGTCCAAAGTGGGACATTGCATTAAAGGGCTTGAAAACTTGAAGTTGTTTTAATTATGGCCAATCTTGCTTTTCATAAGATGAGATGTACTGGTATTTACTTCCATCAGGAAGGTCAAGTGCAAGCCTATTCAACAGAAAGGAGATCCTCCCTAACATGCCTAAGGCCACAAAAAAAAATAGTTCTGCTTCCGGTTTCCCTACCTACCCTATTCCGAGAGCCCCTACCCTAATTTTTTTATTGGAAAAATGAGGAAAAAAACACCCAAAACCATCGATTTCTACCTTTTACCTTTGACTACACGCAGACGCCTCCATATGATCATACACACACAAAAAATACTGTAAAATTCACTTACGTCATATGTTCATAAATTCAGCCCCCCCCCCCCAAAAAAAAAAACAGTCACAACTGAGGGATTTCCTTTAATCCTTACCAGCCCCGCAACTCCATCAAAATCTATCCCCATTTGGGTGGATTTGGGGGGACTTAGTCCAGAAGGCCTGGTGTGACTAAATATTGATGGAGTACATGTATGATGGACTTGGGCCTAATGGCCTGACATGCCTGAAGCAGTGCTAGGGGTATCCAGTTGATTTTGCCTAGCTTCCTGTACTGCTATTGTGATAAAAGCCATGTGTAGCAAGTCCAAGGATGTCAACTAGTGCATCAGTGGTGGATTCCATTATGTCATGTACAGTTTTGTATTGGAGTTTGATGGACTTGGTCCAGTTCCTACATGTAGTTAAAGACGCTAGGGAGTTAAAGGTAGAGTCCATCATTTGTAATTTGTGCATTTTGTTCGTTTGAAGCAACAATAGAGTTCAAAATCTAATGAAGGATACTGAGCAACTAACCTGATGAAGTTTCAGCTAAGCTTCAGCTGTACATTCCGAGAAAAACAGCATTCTAAGATCTCAATTTCAAATCAAAAGTTGCTGAATCATGTTTTGAATTGTTTTGAATTGCAACTATACGCAACGTCGCGCACTGATCCGACGAATTATAACAACCGCGCGCGCGTGTGCGTCGTTCGAATACTTGTGCGCGCTGCGCTGAATAACAAAACGAACTACTAATTTAAATTTTCCTACGGTGCTTCTTAAGAATCACCGTTGGAAATGCCTTCTTTCGTTGATTACTTCAAAATGACAGCTTCCCAGAAAGAATAATTTCACAGGGAGTTTAGTCTCCTTACTATCTTTCAACCAAGTTAGTTTTTCAACAATTTTTTACGCCAGTTACTTTTCGGATGGCTGCAAATGATGGACTCTACCTTTAAGCAGGCCATCTCAAGCTCGACCAATTAGTGGGCGTTTGGGGTCACACCCGTCCGTGTCTGGGTTCCTTGCTCTTTGCTTTTTCAATGGTGACGATATTTTCGCGTTGTGAAAAATGGAGGTTGAGGAAACATTAGGCCTATAGGTGTACATCGAATTCTTAAAATATTAACGACAGCACGTTCACGAGATTTTTTTGTAGATGAAGGTTCAATCTTTAATTTGATTACCTCAACATTTGGGAGACTTTCGTCGTTGTCGAAAAAACGGAATTTCATCACGTAATTTTTTAGTCAATTTGTCCGTGAAAAAAAAACGTCAAAATGTATCAAAATCCTTTTTTTTTTTGGAGAAAAAAAAAGACCTTGATAGATGTATGTAATAGGGCTTTAACTACCTAAAACAGCTTTGTTTGTGTGGATCGGTTGTGATCGGTCGTGCTGTTAGTTGTGTGGACGAGAAAATAGAGCGGCTACGCGTGACACGGCAACTGACTGCCTTAGCACGTGCCAAAGGAAGCAATTTGAATGCATATATCTGAAATTGCCAATCAGCGGAATGAACTGCCTGATCAGCCCATAGCCTGGCAAATTGAATGGAATCAGCTACCCGGATTTCAATTTGATTAACTTAGTTGTCAAAAGAACGCCCACCAATGAAAGCGAACATCTAGCTCCGTTGACGACTTTCAATATAAGGCAGCATAATGCGCATGAATCGACTGTATGCTGAAATTGACCAGGAAAACCTATATAACCGAACAACGCGGCATCTCCCAAGAAACTGCTTTTAAATCCAAGGCTTTAATAATAATAATAATTTATTCATTTATAAAGCGCAAATTCCAATATAATTTTGTTCAAATGCGCTGTACAGTAAAATATTGATTAAAATACAAGAAAATACACTCTAAAAATGTACCATGACGCGCTAGAAAATACACACATTAAAAATAAAGAGTAACAGCAAAAAAATACTCGCAAGGAGCTTAGAACGACCAACCATTTCACATGTCAAAATACAAAGAAGTAACAATAAAATCAGTAAAAGGCCAACTTAAAAAGATGAGTTTTTAACAGAGACTTGAAGTTATCAACACTGTTAGCTCTCCTTATGTGAATCGGGTGGGCATTCCAGAGTGTAGGGGCAGCATTAACAAAAGCACGATCCCCAAGGGTAACTTTGGTACGGCGAAAAGGGTAGCCCAGGAGAGTGTCATCGTGAGAACTACGAAGATTGTAACGGGATGAGGGATTCTTAATGATAAGTTGGCTAAGGTAAACTGGAGCTAAACCATAAAAACATTTATAAGTCAACAACAGAATTTTAAAATTAATCCTAAACCTCTCTGGAAGCCAATGAAGATCAACCGTTAATGGAGAAACATGACAATACTTATCAGACTTAAAAACAAGTCGAGCGCAGGCATTCTGTACTCGTTGAAGATGATTTATCTGACAGTCAGGTAAGCCATATAAAAGGCTGTTACAGTAATCTAAACGACTGGAAATGGAAGCGTGAATCAAGGTTTCAGTACACTTAGTGGACAGGTATTTTCGTATACGTCTGATGTTATGTAAATAATAAAATGCACTTCCACAAACCTTTTGAACGTGAGTGTTCATTGACATATGTACATCAAACCATGAGCCTAAGTTACGAGTAATGGGTGCAGGTGTAACCATACAATCACCAACATGAATGGAATCAAGGTTAACTTTAGACAACTGTTTGGGGGTCCCAATAATCATAAACTCAGTTTTACTGTCATTCAGCATTAAAGGTGTAGTCCATCATTTGTAATTTGTGCATTTTGTTCGTTTGAAGCAACAAAAGAGTTCAAAATCTAATGAAGGATACTGAGCAACTAACCTGATGAAGTTTCAGCTAAGCTTCAGCTGTACATTCCGAGAAAAACAGCATTCTAAGATCTCAATTTCAAATCAAAAGTTGCTGAATCATGTTTTGAATTGTTTTGAATTGCAACTATACGCGACGTCGCGCACTGATCCGACGAATTATAACAACCGCGCGCACGTGTGCGTCGTTCGAATACTTGTGCGCGCTGCGCTGAATAACAAAACGAACTACTAATTTAAATTTTCCTACGGTGATTCTTAAGAATCACCGTTGGAACTGCCTTCTTTCGTTGATTACTTCAAAATGACAGCTTCCCAGAAAGAATAATTTCACAGGGAGTTTAGTCTCCTTACTATCTTTCAACCAAGTTAGTTTTTCAACAATAATTACGCCAGTTACTTTTCGGATGGCTGCAAATGATGGACTCTACCTTTAAGGTTAAACGACTACAGACATGACAGAGTAAAGATGAGACCTTTGATGATCTTTTTAGGCAATAAAAATGAAATATTAAAAAACGTTTTCACAAAATAGATCGTTTTTGTGTCAGAATTATTGGGGCGTCATTGAAGGTGCTACTGTACTATACATAAGCGCATTTGAGCCAAGGTCTGGAGCAGGAGACAGTCGGAGCATACTGACCGGAGCATTGCGTTTACACCTCTGGTTCTTTTTAGAACCATTCTCTTAGTTTTGAGAAATTATTCCCATATGGTGTTTCCGCAAACCTTTCACTTGTTCTTATTCTACTTTCTACCGATATTTCCAAACATTATTATTTCATGGCAAAAGCATTTTCGAGCCTCAAGGACACTTTACAACATACATGTATCTCCAGGTTCCATACAATATGAAAGAAAAGGTATCAGCATTTGTCCCACGCGATGGAGAACAGTGACTACATGTAAACACTGCCACAGGAACTGGCCAATCACAAAGCAGCAAAGCTCCATTATGCATAAATTAGCACAGTCTGTGTCAATACAATGCAATCCATTGACCAATCAGTGACTTCCAAGCTTCTAGTGACTGGGGTGGCAGTGGAGACCAGGCTGAACTGTTCAGTCGGGTAATTCTCAATCTAGCTCATAGATACATGTACTCTTCCCAGAGGCAATTAATTTTTCCTCCGTCTTGTGCACCAGATGGAACAACTGTTTACAGTTTATACACGTACATGTGTCGACATTGACCAAAGTAAAAAAAGTACACAATTTTTTAAATATTAGTTGTCTGTTGGGAAGACAAGCTCAAAACTTAATAAGTTCATGTACCAGTACATTTTGTTGTACAATTTGCCCAAAATGGCTTTCATTTTTACACTGCTGATGATGCTGTGTGCATCTCAAGTGTCGTGCTGTGAAACTTCCTGTGGTGGACTGCGACTGGAACACAAACTGTTCAGCGCTGACCACAGGGCCCTCGTGAATTCTGTGTACAAGAAGAAAACTGCAGCTTCTCAAGTCATCTGCGGTCGAGAATGCAGCATGGATCCCGAGTGCAGGTCTGTCAACTACCACAAATGCAGGAAGCTGTGCGAACTCAGCACCGCTACCCGCAGAGAGTTTCCTGAAGCTTTCGTGGAAGGCCAAGGCAGCGTGTATTTTGATGCAGATGAGAAGACGCCGCTCTTTTCATTGGCTCGCAACCACTCCACCCGTTACCTAAGTTGCGAGCAGCTCTTCGACGCAGGCTTTTGCTCCAGTGGCGTCTATACCATTCACCCACACGGCTTTGACAAAGGCGGGCTACGTGTCGACTGCGACATGGCGACTGACGACGGGGGATGGATCATGTTCCAGAGGCGGCAAGATGGCAGTGTGGACTTCTACCGTACCTGGGCTGAGTACCAGTCTGGCTTTGGCAATCTGTCCGGTGAGTTCTGGTTGGGCAATGACAACTTGGCAAAACTCATGTCGGACAATCTTCAAGTAAAGTGGGAACTTCGTGTCGATTTGATGGACTGGGGAAACAACACTGCATGGGCCAAGTACCAAGATTTCACAATCTCTGGGACTAAGTACACTCTGTCGTTCAGCACATATGATGTCAACAGCACAGCTGGCAATGCTCTTGGAAGACAAAACGGGATGCCATTTACAACGAAAGACAATGAAAATGACATATGGCAAGGTGGGAACTGTGCAAATTTCTTTCACGGTGCCTGGTGGTACAAAGATTGCACCAGTACTAACTTGAATGGAAGATATTACCCATATAGAAATGTCAAGTTTAATCAAGGCATCAAGTGGAATCTCTGGGTAGGAAGAAAACAGTCTCTCAAACAATGCAGCATGAAAATGCGAGAAATTTAGACAATTAGGCCAAAAAAAATAGTTCTGCTTCCGATTACATGCCTTTCAAAAATAGGATCGGTCGGTCAGAATTTTTTTTTTGGCCAATTTTTTTGATGCAGATTGAATGGGGTATATGCGAAGTTTTGGTCTGAACTATTTCCATTGCACTAAGAAAGCTATACACAAAATGGCCACGAAAAGTGAATAAAACCTACCTTGATTATTGTCAATATATTTACGTTCGATAATTCTTTAAAAAATAATAGAAAAATCAGGCGGTTCGCATCATATGCACAACATTCGTTCGTTTTACGGTCAAAAATTTTGGGATACACGCTGCATGTATCACTCCAAATACGAGTAGTGCGATCTCAAAATGAACTCTTGAACACGGAAAATACATACACAGACAAGATAGATCAATTCTGTGAATTTTTAATTAACTTGCAAAAATGTTCTTTCTCCATCGGTGTTTTCTTGGCATTTTTACGACGTCGAATCCCACCAGTTGACACTGTCAGTGCACGTGGCTAATGAATAGCGCTAGCAATCGCTACCGCATTTTCATCATGTCTTCTAAGTTCTAAATTGGCCCAGCGCGCCAATTTCTAAATTGGCCCCGCATACAATGTACAGTAGTTGTATCAAGTTTCTTAACAATCACAACCAGTCAATCCTGCTTTATGTAGGCAGGGAGCACTCAACTGTTTAAAACAGTCACTTGATTGATTTTGACTGCTGGGTTGGCCTTGTGGAAATTGCCAGCCATACAGAGAGGGAGGGTTTTAAGAGTACTTGTACCAGTACATTGTAAAAAACATGAAACTTGCACACGTGAAGAACACGTATATTGTACATACATATGTATATACTGTACAGATTACATACTAGTAAAATGTATGTAAAAACATACGTGAAAAGACGTATGATTAGCACACTGCACATTTTGCATGTAAAGGTACTATACGGATCACTCAAATTTACATGTAAATTTTCAAGTTCAAGCACTGTAGACCAATTCACTCTTCTATCTTAAAAACGAAATGATTGATTTTACTGTACAGAAAGAATTTCAGTCACCACTGAATGTTAAAGGCTGCTCTTCATCAAATTTGATTGTTTTAAATCTTCAACTGAATGTTTTATTCTAAAGCTTAAAAAAAAAATTCAATGTATGTGGGCAGTTCCACACTAGTGGGCTAATTAGATAACTTTATGGATGTTGCTTTATGTCTGGTTCCGCACTAACATTGTCGTTGTGACTTCGTATTCAGGAGATGAGAATCAAACCATTTTACAATTTCGGACTATAGGCCTACATATGTACATTCTATTCCCTTTAAAAAAATCCTCCAGAGCCATGAATCACAAAAAGAAAACACTCTGAAATTAAATGTTGGAGTCAATTTTAAATAATAAAAGAAGAATATTCTTTATTTTTGGGGATGAAAAAAAAAAGAATTGAAAATGTCACTATGGCTGGGAATCAAACATGTTGAACCTTGTTCCCCACCCATCCACTACATGCATGACATGTAGGCCACAGGTCTTGCACATCTGATGGTGGTAAAAAGCGTTTACCATGTAGAAAGCCTTGTACAACCTACCCAGCAAAATAGCGTTTACTTAAATTTAGCCGGTGTCATGCCAAAAATGTCCGGTGACAAATAGTGTCTGCTGTGAGCATGCAAAATAGACGCAGGACACTTGCGTCCAGTGCTGAACAATAGGAAAACACTTAATTTTTGAAGTTGTTTGGGTAGTTGGCAAATGTTGACGTCGTCAATTATTTTTGCGCCAGTGTAACCGTTCCATCCATCAATGACTTCATTCTGAATTTCTGGTTTACCTTCCAACTGTCCAAGCAGATGCTAGAAAACTGACTTGTTCAGGTATTCATGACAATTACATGCACGAAAAACCCGAACATGCCCCTTTCATTTGTTTCAATTCCCTCTACATTTATTTTAAATTTCTTTATCAATTCTTAATTAGCTTGTTAATGCCAATTTAATAACCGAATGTGCTCGCATATCATATACGCTCGTCCAACGGGCAGATATTCGATAAGTTGCGCGTATGGCGCAATGAAAAAGACTAGATCATAGATAAAGAATAAAAAAGACGAGATCGGCAGTGCGTACATGTACATACGCACGTTCTGCCATAGGCGGCGCCATTTTTATTTTCAGCGCATGGGGCAAAAATGCTTTACGCACGTACCTTTATTTCCGCAGGTTTGTATGGAAAGGTATATTTGTAAGTATGTAAAAGTAATATTTTTGACCTGTAGTAGTTATTTTCCCAACAAAATTCCAAATGGGTTATTAAGCTGCATATTCATTTCGAAGTTTGGTCCATTTTATTCTTCGCATTTACTTTCCGTTTTAAAATGCTGGTGAGCGTTGCTAAAAAAAAACACCTTGCATCCAGTTGTTTAAGTGCTATTTGCTTCAGAATAAAACAGAGTACATATTCCCCTGTTTTAATGTCCTTAGATTTAAATTCACGGCAGTTTTTAACGGCAACCCCTGGAACATTTTTTTTCTCCACTGTCCCTCCTAAGGCCAAAGACATGACATACGCCGTTATCAGATAGAACAAATACATTTGTATTAAATCATCTCAAAATCTGCAAGAAGGCGCAAGAATCTCACAATATTGAGCAACATAAATTGGGTAGAGCATATGTTTCAATAAACTTGAGCAGTTAGATTTTTTTTTTAATGTCTATGGTTTTCCCATCTCGTTTTCCTATGAGTAGCCGTGGTTTTGTTTGTCCGCATTGTAAAAGAATTTTCAATGTCCCGATTTCACTTCTATATCAGCTTTCCTGATTTCGCTTTTAATACCTCAATGATTTTGCAATTAATGCCCCCCTCCCAACCTGGTTATGAAATATCCTCACAAAAAGTTTGAATCCACCAATATAATGCAGAAGGAACATTATGGGAGTGCAATTTAATTTCATTCTCAAAACGCAATATTATTGTCATCAAAAGTCATGCAATGTAATCCATGCACATTGATTTCATCCAAACAGGATATTGTAACACAAATCTCTTAAATCCTCCATTGAAACATTTCACAATGTTAATATTAAATAATTCAACGGTAATAATAAGCAGTTTTAACCTTCTACATTTTCTTTTTTTATTGCTTAAAACTATGTTTTTATATACAATTTATCAGATAGCATGACAATATTTGGATATTTTTAGTAACGTGCACCGCCATTTTCAAACAAAAAATAAATACGAGCCTGGAGCAAACAAAAAGGTCCTATTTGATTCTTTCCATCTGCTTCAGGCGGTGAATCAGAATAAAAAACGGTTGACCTACATTGTAAGTTGGTTTACCTATAGATGTTAAGTTAATAGCAGTCACTTTAAAGACACGATTACCCCAATTAGTTTCAGTGTTGTCATTACTAAAATATATATGCCCAAAAATGTTAAGTGATCATTAAAACCAACTTGGAAAAAAAAATATCCTGACGATTTTACACTTGTATCTAGACACTGTTAGATCTTTTAAAAATGATTTTAGAACCTGAATCTCTGAAACAAAATGGTAGGGTTATCAGCATGTTGACAACTTTTCAAGTATCATTCCGATGATGCCTCTGAATTATGTAGCCGTGTACTAGAAACATGCTAAAATGCTGTAGAACAGCCGAATACACATTGACACTTAAAAAGGTTTTGTGAAAAAAATTAACTTACTTGAACAATTACTGAACTGGAAGGGCTACTGTCAAATGAATGCCGTGTGGTGCAAGACACTGAACATGTATCAAGATTCTATTCCATGGAACACCTTCTCTTGGTCTATATAATGAGAGAGGCACTAGTTGCATTTAATTGCATCTCGAATAAGCATCTGAGATTTTGTACATTTCTTTCCGATATATACCACAGAATTGATCCCTATGATTTAAAAAAGGGCAAGATTCTTTTTTGAGTACATGGCATACTTTTCAAACGAATTGAATAAACTACACTGAGCAAAATGATGCGTCTCCCCTCCGCCCCCTTGTTTTCAAAGGTCGGGCGAATTAGGAAATTATTTGTGAATAAGGACAAAAAAGCTGATACAATTCAGTCATTCAGATGCATCCATCTAATTGAGATTACTCTGTGATTTTTCTTTATTTAACAGCGAATAAAATTACCTCGTCAAAATCAATATTCAAAGAATAAGTGTCATTTCTTCATCCAAGACAAAACTATTATTCTCATCCACTATTTCTTTATTTACTTTTTATTTTTGGGGGGGTAGGGTGGGGGTGGGGGTGGTTATAGGCATTTTCAGGTGCTCATACTTTTGTGTTGTTTGGGCATTTGGGGGTAGGCCTACGGGTGCATGTTATTGGTTGTTCATTGGTGTAAACAGTTTGTGTTGGGGAGGGGGGGTTACGGTGCTATATGTAAGTGCGTTTCTGTTGTTTTTCAGTGAAGTGTGTATTTCGGGCATGCTGGATAGTGTTCATGGAGGAATATCTTGTTCTGTTATTTTCGGTGTAAATTTTTTTTGGGGGGGGGGGTTGGGGTTGTACTGTGTGGGGCTTTTCCCGTCGTGTGTTTTTCCTGTTTTCAGGTGTGAACTGTACCAGTATTAACCATAGAGCAACCCTGAGGACAGGCACAACTGAGGGAGAACAACATATTCTGGCTTGACCTCAACCGTTCATTGGCTGTTCAAAATTGTCCTCGCCCGTGCATTATAGTCTATGGGGATAAGTATGGTGTTCCATTATGTGGCAACGGCATCGCATTTTCGGGGGGGGGGGGGGCGCATTTTTATTTTTTTGGCGTCGTACTTTTGTTGGGCGTCGCATTATTTATTTTGGGTGTCGCGCTTTTTTGGGGGGGGCAGCGCATTTTTTTTCTTTTCGACACATCTCTCCCTCCCCCCCCCCCCAAAAAAAAAAATGTGGGAGCTGAAAGATTTTATCCCGAGATTCTCATACGGTTTAACTGTATCAATCAATCTTTATGTAGCTAATACATAACATTCAATCTTAAAACCTGATCATGTCAAGCTGGACGAACTGTCATGAAAAGGGTTTAGCATCCTGATGAGAAACAATATCAAAAATCTAGAATATGCATGTAATGTGAAACTCAAAAGAAGTATTATCTGGCAAGCACTCATTGCGTGTGAACAAGGTTTCCGACTGTGTCAATAGAGGGCGCTGTTTTGTTATGTTTTTTCACGTGCAGAATTTTCGGCATTTGTATCCCAGATTTTCTCTTTCCCAAACAAACTATGGATCGGGGAACAAGGTTTATTTGATATGGTACATCATATTCATAATCTAATGTCTGGAAAGTTTTATACAATTCGGCGGACCAGATCGCCTGTATCAAAGACTAAAGCATTTTCGGCCCCTTGTCCATCGCCTATATCAAAGACTAAAGCATTTTCGGCCTCTTGTCCACGGACTAAAATGTGCGACATCGCAGAAATCTCGATGTGTGATGTCCCACAACCATGACAATAGGGGGAAAAACAAGCGCCGCCAAAAGAAATATGCGACGCCAAAAAAAAATGCACCGCCCAAAAAGCAAATGCACCGCCTCCCCCCCCCCCCCAAAAAAAACATGCGTTGCCAAAAAAAAAGTGACGCCCCCCCATAAAATGCGCCGCTGTTGATCGAGTGTGTTTTGTGGTGTTTTCCAGTACTTTGTAGTCCGAGTAACTTGGACCCAAGTATAGAATACAGGGCCACTCCAACTATAGAATACAGGGCCACTCCAATCTATATCCGCGCCTCCGTACGGCTGTGTGGAGCCGTAGTCGACCTACATGTGTACCTCCGAGAAATGCGCCCTCTACCGGCGCGCGACTCCAAGGCTCCAAGGCTCCGTGTCTCCACGGCTCCAGTGCCCCGTCACAAGCGCGCCCTCCCTTCCTTTGCGAGGACAACCTACCCACAGACATATAAACCGTGATTCGAAAAAGTATTCATTGGCAAACACTTGTTGACATAGCGCGTATCCGCTCGATGCGCGTTCAATGCAGATACGTGCTTAGGACCGGACACTACATACATTTACATACAAAACTAAAAAAGGCTGTTTTACTCACAATCCGATTGTAAAAAAGTTGTGCGCCTTATTGGTTTTTAATCTACCTAAATCATTTTAAGTACATGTACATTTACACACGGGATTTCTTTAAAAATAGAAAAATAACTTGATACTTGATAGAATTTTTTTAATGGAATAGTTTGGGTGTGTGTAAAATCCCTATACCGAGAGGTGATTTGCCCATTGTTTGGATTTTAGTCGGCGCTGCGAAATCACGGAATGTGCGTGTAGTTTCGAATGGGACCTGGCGGTCTATGCGCTTAAATGTCTGTGGACCTACCTCCGAGAATTGCACCCTCTACCGGTGCGCGACTCCGCGCCTCCACGGCTCCAGTGCCCCGTCACAAGCGTGCCCTCCCTTCCTTTGCGAGGAAATTAAAATGGATATGGATGCCTCGTTCTCAAAAAAAATCATAGTCCTAGGAAGTAGGATCATTCATATGGATATCCTACCGCCGAGAATTGTGCCCTCTTCCGGCGCGCGACTCCACGACTCCAAGGCTCCATGGCTCTATGGCTCCACGGCTCTGTGACTCCAAAGCTCCAGTGCCCCGACACTACTCCTAGAACTATGAGGCTCACTACGTGGAGCCTCATAGTTCTAGGAGTACCCCGACACATTTACAAGCGCGCCCTCCGTTCCTTGAGAAGACAAGTGCATTTGCTGTACTGAGCACTTTTTGCGCATCTGCATTTATGATTTAGTATATCGATACTGTAATACTCCTATCCTCACATCGCTGGCCTCGGGGCTCCAAGTATCCTTGAGTCACCATAATCGGCGCAGGTAACGCTTGCAACGCACGCGCGTTGTCCAACGCAAATTGAATGAGAGTGCGTCAAAATAGATCCTCATCGTTTTAGGTGGACCAACGATACATAAAAAACCCTAACCCCTGCATTCTATAGTTACTCCCACTGAATTACTTAATTAGTCAATTACATCATGTCCCTAGAACTAACGACAAACGTTAAATGCATTATCATGTACATGTGAGCTACAGCCCCATATGGGCCATAGTTCCCCAACCGTTCCAAGCATGCCAAGTCGTAGACCCGTGAACGTGGCGTTGTTTACAAGCCACGTTCACGGGTCTAGCCAAGTCGTAGTCCGAGTAACTAGGACTCTACGGATCGCTTTTTTAACATTTGGACATGGTCGGGCGATAGTCGCTTTTTTAACATTTGGACATGGTCGGGCGATAGTCGCCCGACCATGTCCAAATGTTAAAAAAGCGATCCGTAGCAAAGATCCTATCTATAGCGCCGCTTGCGGCGCTATTTACTCAGACTAGCCAAGTAGTTAGTCCGAGTAACTTGGACCCAACTTATCGCCTTTTTTAACATTTGGACATGGTCTGGCGCCAGACCATGTCTAAATGTTAAAAAAGGCGATAAGTTGGGTCCAAGTTACTCGGACTACCAAGTAGTTGGGCCGGGGGCGTAATTTTTTTTCCTAGGAGGGTTAGCATGGTTTAATAGGGGCAATGTCATGAATAATTCAGTTTTTCCTTTGAATCATTGCAAGACTTAGGTTCTCGTTCTATTTTCCCCTTAATTTAAAATTATCTCAGTGATAAATTTGGAGAAGAAAAATAGCTGATGAAAATGAGCAGCGACGACGTGGATTCGAACCAGGGATCTTTGTGTACCCATATACATGATATAGCTCATCTCGCTATCCACTAGCATGACTAGGACAGTTACTGTGTGGTAGCTCGACGACAACCGTTCTTTAAAATGCTTTAATGTATTGTAACTAGTTGAGTAACTAACAACAATGCTGTCGATGTCATTGTCCGTTCTCATGGATAAACATGAATTATTCATGACATTGCCCCTAACCCTCCTAGGAATAAAAATTACGCGGGCCGGGGGTATTAAACCATGTAAACGCTGTAATGCCGGGCAAATCATTCATCTCTGCCAAATTTCTATTTTCCCCTGATAATTCCAGTAAATCACGGAACAGTAGCAATGTCTAATGGTCTAATTCAAATCGCATCAAACCCAAATGAATTTACTTACATAGCATGCATAGGATTTACTACCAAAGTTGAAATTCCGGGTATCTGCAATGTGGCCTGTGGGTTAACAACAAATCCACGTGTAGACGACTACGGAAGTACGGCCACACGTACGTACGTATCTCGGCCACTTCCGTAGTATGGTCGTACACAACATATCCACAGTGACCGTAAGGTACTGGCAAAATTCTGCTAGATGCATTTCTAAATCTGCTAGATTTAACAAAAATCTTCGATATCACTTATTATTAGCTGGAGTCCGGAGTTACCCAGCCTTAAATTGTATCATTGGGTTGACAACCGAATGATAACATTTAGGGCTGGGTAACTCCAATCCTCCATGCTCCAGCTAACTTATTATTACACGAAATACATTATTAACACTAGTTTATACCATGGAGGAATGGAGGTAGATGCAGATGTTGTAAAATTTCCTGAAACAAAACAAAAATCATAAAATTTTCTTTAAAACCAAATAAATTACAAAATTAAATTTAAACAAAATTGCATCACGTTGAACTATAGTCTTGCTTGCATGGTCTACTTTACTGTGTATACACGTCAGGGAACCTCAAATTGAAACTTTTCAGTGGCGGTTCTACGGGGGGGGGGGGGGGGGGGGGTGGCCAAAAATGTTGTCCAGCCCCCCAAACAAAATTCCATAAAAAAGAAATGCACTAGCAAAATTTAAGAATGTGGCGGACGTGCGAACGGTCTCCCCCTAAATAAATAGTCGTGAGAAGGGTGCATTTGTGCACTATTAGTTAATAAAGTGTACCTGATTGTGGGATTTTATCAGTGCTCCCCATTAAAAATATGCCACGAGCCCCCCCCCCCCCCCCCCCCCCCCCCCCTCCCCCTCCCCTACTGATTTTTGGAGGCCTAAGTGTCCGCAGAAAATAACTGGTCTACATTTCAGCACACCCGTCAGAAAAATTCTGCATCCTCCCTGCTAGCCCCCTCCCCCCCCCCCCCCCCCAAAAAAAATATTGGCTCTTTCAAAACTAATCAGCTACATTTTTCTGTCAAATCACCAATTTTACAGAATTCATTCCGCTAAATTTTGTCAAACTCGTTTTTCTCGAATAATTCTGTTAAATATAGCCGAAATTCGGCTAAAACGGTCACCCTGATACATCGCGAATACGTACGTACGTACGTACACGCACTGCAATGAAGGATTGCATCAGAATTCAGAATAGTAGTTGAACGGCTGTTTCATATCACACTCAAAATCATTGTGAAAATTCAAATAGCCACCGGAAAGTACACTGAAAAGATTTATACAAAAAACCTTGTTGATGTTTTATTGAGATCTTTTTTTTATTTCAGATAAAATTCTTCTTTCATATGCGTAAACAAATTAAACTGACTGCCTCGTCGGCTTCTTATGTGACTATAATAACACTTTCTCTAAAAACCCTAAATTTGCACATATGGAGGAGTAAAAAAATGTCCTCGATGATTTGCACAATTGATCGAGCTATATACTGTACGATTACTTTCTCAGCATACTTTTACAAATTTGGAAGAGCTCCAGGTGATTTGGTCATTTACAAATTGTTTTTTAAGATTCATTTTTATAGTGATAGTGTACATGGCATGACTTGTTTACATGCAGCTTATGAGTTTTCTCTTCAATATTAACCTTTAAAATAATTATTAGTACATGTACCTGAAACTGAAACGGACTTCACATTCAAACATTTCATATTTTGAAATTAATATTACATATCTACAACAGCACATTCCACAATTTTCTCATTACATGTACGGTATTTTGTTTCTTTTCTTGAGAAATCCACAAAAAAGGAACCAAAATGCTGTGTGGTTCTTCCCGTCGAGCATGCATGCTGTTCAAAAACAAATGTGCTCGTATGTACATGTACTGTAAAACATTCAAATCTCACAAAGTGTGTGGCTGATGAAATGAATCACAGGTCAACCATCACAGGCTTGGTCAAAGTTACAGAGGTGTGGACCCTGACAAAGGCCTTTCTTTGTGCACCGTCACTTGAAGGGCTTGTGATCTGACTTGAGACTTGGCGAGTGCTGACTAAGGTGGTGGCTCAGTTTAGAGTAACTCAGTTACAACTGGTGAATAAAGCATATTTATTATGCTGATAAATGTTCTCAGTCATTTAAGGAAATGTGATTTTAAAATGTCCTTATTAGAAAAAAATAGTTAATACATGTACAAGTATTACAACTACCCCATACTGGAAGATGGTTACTTTTTTCCAATTTTTAAACAAAAAAGCAGGTTATCTCCAAACTGTCATGGTCTGGTACAGTCCCTTAGCATGATATCTTTGAACATGTTATACATAAGAATACGCTTTAAAATGTTCTTGTTCTTACAATTTAGCCTTTAAAATATTAACATGATAAATGCATTGTATTACATAGATCCCATACAATTAAAACGTACATTGCAATTAAGCCTTTAAAATATTTACATGATAAATGGCACTGTTTTACATAGATCGCATACAATTGAAATGTACATTGCAACAATTGCTTTCTTTTGAGTAAATTATACTTTACTTGAGCAATGAGCAATCGAGAAGGTTTAAAAGCATTCCGTGTTTTACAACATTCCTTACTTTGCCTGAATTAAGAAGTTCAATTTATTTGTTTGCTTAGGTTATCAATCACCATGGCAACTACTTCCTCCACAATAATCCCCTGATCTTGAGAGGAGGTGGATTCTTGCTTGTCCTCTCCTCATCTGTAGGTAGCTCATCTACTCCAAGATAGTCCATAACAAGATCAACTAAGGTCTTGACTTGCTCACGAGACACTCTCTCCTTCCATTCCTTGAAGAGGAACGTAGCTAAGGAGTGAGGCAGGTGGGCCAAGACTCGCTGAAGGGCATCGTAGTTACGGTTCTGCTCAACTATGTTAAGCAGCCAATGGGAAAATGCAGGCCACTTGTTCATTCCCTAAAATCACAAAAGATAATACCTAAGAATTATCTCAGTATTAAATTATTTATGAAAGAACAATCACCAAAGTAATCCAACAGCTCTTTCTAGATATTAAAAAAAGCATGCTAGAAAAAAATCACAAAATAATTACTAGAATTTGAACCAACATGACACTGTTTTCTACGAAAATTGTAACAAACTGTCTTTGAAAGAACATCACAAAATGCACAAAGTGCACACAGAGTGGCTTTTCAACCCACACAGAATTTAGCTTTCCCTGTCTGACATGGTAACTGAACTTCCTTTTGGAGAAATCAGAACAGAATATACTCTAGAGGTATTTGAACCCATCAGGCTTTCCACATCGTTTGATCACAAGATCCTTACCATGGCTTTAGTGATGAAGTTGTTATCTCCAGCATCACCAAAGAAGAAATTGACAGAGATGGACATTTCTACAGATGTCACTTGATGCCACCAGAAAGATGGGATGTACAGCCTGCAATCCAAACAAAGAAAGCGATTCATTGCAACTCATATTCTTCATTTATCTCCTGAGCTATCCATATCATGAACTTTACTAGCCTGCATCGAGGATGTGGGCAATGTTCATGTGTCCTCAAAGTATGTGGGATCTTGAGGTCTAGAATGCAGGGATGTGATTGGTCTGTGACAAAAAAAACTGAAAATTTTATGCATGAAGTGCAAACTCCGGCGAGCGCGAAGCTCTGTGGTGCAATCTGAGGCAATTACTGGGCACTTTCCTCTGAAATTCTGAAGCAGATTTGTTGTAATTTTATGAAGAATTTTCCTTCATTTGTTAAAATGTACTCTTGTTCTAATAAAGTTTTTTCTGTACTCAAAGTTGAGAACCATGCTGTTTTCCCCAGAATTTTTTCAAACCTGTGGGGGAATTTTTGTTGTGATACAACAACCTGCAAGCCACGGCGTGGGTTCGGGGCCCGCTTAAGGGCCCCGAAAATTTTTGAACTTTAGAAGCTTTCTGGTGCATTTTAGAGTTTTTTTCAGAGGAGATCTTGTAATATTTTTGTAAAAAAAAAATCAAAATTGTAAACTTAAATCACTTCTGCTTCCGATAACATGCCTTTCAAAATAGCGTCGGTAGTATTGTTGGAAAAAAATTATTTCACCATTTCTATATTAATTTGTAGTAAAGCAAGGACATGAAGGAATCGTTTATATTTCATGTATTTTGTGCCTGGATGATTCTCATTTGCGCCACAAAAATTATCAAGACTAGCCATCAAAAGTGATTAAAACTTGCCTCACCTAATTAAAAATATATTTGAGGTGGGTCATTCCACAATTATGCTTAACGTACATCAAGGCCGCTAGCGCCGCAAACATTCAGTCTGGCCGGCCGTACATCGCGCCGTACACACGGCCGGCCCGGCGCAGTATCAGTGTGCATTGCTGCACTGTGTACGGCCCATCCCAAGTGGCCGAAAATTCTGAAGGACTGCCGAAACACGCTACGATGTTTCTCCACAGGTTCAAGTTTTGCAATCTCGTCATTTCAATGGAAAATACATACACAGAAAATGAAGATCACTTTCTGTGAATTAATTTGCAGAAATCCTTATTTTCCATCGATGGTTGTTTGGTATTTTTACTATTTTTACGATCCAACTTCGGCCGATTATACCACGGAAAACGAACCTGTGAGTACTTGCAGTAGTCACTGGTTCCGGTCCTTCATCATAGCATTGATTCTGTTAGCACGCGAAGGGTACCAGTGTACCATGCTGCACTCGTCTGCACACCTGACCAGCGCAACACGTGCATCTCAAGTACCGACACAGGAACTAGACCTACATAACCACAACCTCGGCCCCAAGCGAAAAATCACATAATCGCACTAATGGCAACGCATGGTCTTCAACTTCGTTCTCACATTGGGTGTTCAATATGTGCGTGCGGCATACATATCGATCAACGAAGTTTATGTCCGTAAGTAAATTTCGGATATTTCGGCAAGCAAAACTCATTATGAATAATTAATTAGCACATTCTACCCCCCTATTTTCTCAACAGATTCACACGATTCACGTCGGTGGACTTTTGAGGCCCCAAAAAACGGATTTCTGGAAAAAAACGGAGAAATCACATCCCTGAGAATGCTTAACCTTTACAAAAACTGGCCATATGTTGAGCATGAAAGTTCATTTCCTGTCCCATTATTATATCAATTAAATAAAAGATACCTTTTTTGAGACTTTGGTTACAGAGCTCGTATCAGGAGCTTGCGACACCATCACAGTGTCTTTATCAACAGGCCAATTGTTGAGTTTTCAGTTCAAGGATTCAACCTGGAATTGGCTACTCACAATGCTCATTCCTGAGTAAGACACATCACACTACAATCACCTTACCCTGAATCTCACCATTGAGTTACAGTCAAAGAAAATATCTGTGATTTCCACATTGTCATGATGGTAAATAACGCAGTTTAATAACATTCATAAATTTCAGGCTATTTGGTTACAATGTAAATGATGTGTAACTTAGCTCAATTATGTGATCACTGTTTGGGAAGACTAGATTGACTCACATTTCTCCAGGACCAAGTTCCCCTTGATAACATGTAGCTAATGCAAACAATGGATGCCTCTCCAGATCAGGATCCTCACAGTTGACTTGGGCCTGAATGGTACGACCTTTTGACCCCAGTGGGTTTGGGTAGAGGGGCATGGGATTACAGCCATATAATTGGACCTTTTTCCTCCCACTCAAGACAACTAATAGCCCATCGTCAGGATCAAAGTGGCAGTACTCTGCAAACAATCAACAGAAATTGAACATTTTACGTTATTAGTCTTTTCATCCAAAAATGTATACATGTGCAAGTATCGTAAAATAAATATTTGTTTTTGTGTAAACAGTTATAATTTGTGAATATATGTACAGGGTGACCCCCTAAAATGCAACCTTGAAGATTTGGCTTTTTTCAAAAACTTGATGGGTGAATTTTTATGTTTTGGATATCAGATTAAAGCTAAAGGTTTTTTTTTTTCAATACTGGAAAAAATCATGAAAACAGCACATTGGGTTGCTGAGAAAATGCCAAATATGGAAAGATTCCAATGGCATTACCACAGCTACGGTATTTTCACTGTACCTATTTGTCAAACAACATGGCACATAATATGACAAGAGTACAAATTAATTTGATGGAAATACCTTTTATCTTCCACCTGAACAGGTATCTCATAATAGTACTATTTTTAAACCTTTTCAGCATCATATATACATGTACGTCAAAATATGAAAGAAACTACACAAATGAGAGACAATTGCACAGTGGACTTACAGTAACATGTTTCACTGTTTGAAGCACTTTTGGAACGGATGAAAACAATTACTTTTTTTTACAAAATTGGCATTTTCTCAGCAACCCAGTGTGCCGTTTTCACTATTTTTTTTAGTATCTGAAATAAAAAACTCTCAGCTTTAATCTGATACCCAAAACGTAACAATTCACGTATCACATTTTTGAAAAAAGCCAAACGTTTCAGGGTTGACTTTGGGGGGGGGGGGGTCATCCTGTATCTGCTGTTTGTGGAACATTGCGATTTTTCATCACCATGCACAACTGTTTCCTCCAAACGAACTGAATGAACCCATAATCCTAATTAATCCTACCATATCCAATAGGACACAATCTGTGTTGGTTGTTGATTTGAGGTTCGCTTCTAGCTGATGGATTCTAATGGCCCATCTGGTGGTGGGGCAGGGGGCAGCTTGGGGCCATCCCTTGGCGACAATTTCCTGGGTTTTTTTTTCACTATGAAATGAAAGTGCCAGCACCACACAACCACTATTAGAAGTAATGTCCTCTGTTTTAATCCATTTTACAAATGGACAAAATTGGGCCACTTTTCTGGAAAACTTATCCATTTTGCCTTACCTACCCCACATCCCAAAACCTGAATACAAGGGACAAACACAATCATTGCAGCAGGGTGAGGGCTAAGGTTTATGAACTCTGTATGATGTTGTCTTTACCATAATGGCCCTTGACAGCTATCCACAGGTAGGGTCCCAGGTGGATCTTACCAACGTAGTCTGGCATTGGAACATCAGCCTGAGGAAAACAAAAGCATTTAATGACAGAGTACTAAATAGAACACAAAGTTATACAGTAAACTCCGGCTAAACCGACATCGTACAACTCGTCAAATCGCTCAAGTCGGCCGTCTGACTAAAGTCCCGATTGTTCGTAATGCATTTCCATTGAATTTTTTATTTCTAAGTCGGCTTTTATAAGTCGCCATTTCGCTCAAGTCGTCGTGTTACTCTCGGTCCCCTTTCCATAAAAAGCATTACAAAATCCTTTGTGTAAGTTGGCATTCAACAAATCACGCATTGGCATCAATTTCCTGTACTGCAGTAGGCAAAGTGTCAAGTGAAAAGTGGTTTAGCACGGCCCGTGATCGCTGCATGCATCGGTGTCGAAATAGGGTGTCTTACTGCATACATCGCATACGCATCGTGAGCATATCAATACCAGTACCCCCTTCTAGGCTGTACGCATGCCCTCTGTCCATTTTGGGGGTTGTCTTACTGCTGCAGTCAATGCGTGCGTGGTATATACCAGACCACTGTGCACGTACATGTACATTATATGTATCGTGGTCTCCACTATCAATACCCCAAACGTGATGATACAATTCGAGGATTAATTTGCTGGATTCAACTCAAGCATTAAAAAGATAATCCAGGGTAAATCGGAGCCAATTAGTGCAATGAATCAAGTGCAAGTCGGCAAAATGACGACTTACAGCAGATGTCGGCATTCGCGTAAGTCGTCACAAATTCTCGGGTCCCGAGAGTGCCGACTTAGCCGGAGTTTACTGTAGTTTAATACTTGATGGTTCCAGTTTTTAAGAGATTACTCTGGTCATTTGAAAACTGGCCAAACATTGCAAACATTGTTTTAACTGCAGGCAGTGACAAAATAATCTCTCAAAACATTCATGGTTCTTGCGTCTATGACATATACAGGCATACGACACAGTCAGAACTCAGAGCCAATTGACCCCATCAGAAGATGGAAGAGGAAACTTGCATTCTTGAGTCTGTAATTGTGATGTGTGAATGACCCAGTACTGAGCTTGATTATAATACCTCTAACTCGGGAAATGTGCTCTTGATGTTCTGCACAGCGAGATAAGAATTCCTGGAACGGCTGTTGTCTTCGTCCAAATCATTGATGTACTCTCTGAGTGTGCTCTCACGGATGGTGTATGCTTTACCCACCTGATTCATGATCAAACAAAACATGTGCAGAATATACTGCAGTTTATTACCCAGAATATCACATTTATAAACACATATACAAGTATCTACAAGCATGCTAGCAACACCAATGTTACAGAAGCTAAAAGTAAAACAATCTCTCTATTTGTGTTAAGTTTGATGTACATTTTGTAATTCTAAAGCACAAGTTTTGAGAAACTACACATTGAAATAAAATAGGAATTCTGCCAACTTATTCAAAGCAAAGAAACAGTGAAATGAAGCAGGAGTTCTGCAATGTCATCATTAAGAGCCAATCAAATTTGATTAACACACTCTCACAACTAATTGCATTCATTCTTCTCTGTCTACTCTATGACTGCTCCCCTGAAAGAAATCCCAAGTTCATTTGTTCCATTTTTTTGTATGGGGGGGGGGGAGTCAGGTTGGCGTAGCGGTACTTTCCTTGCCTTCCACCGCTGTGACCCGGGTTCGAATCCTGCCTGGGCCAACATGTGGATTGGGTTTTCAGTCCCTGCCTGATTCCGTGGGTTTTCCCCAGAATATTCTTCTGGGGTTTCCTCCCACCTCTAAAACTGTAATTACTTCTCATTGTCTGCTCTCTACAGGTTTCTTCAGGCTTGCGAGCTACAGTGCCTAGGGTGCTTTTGAGGAGTCCTTGGTTTCAATAAGCTTGTGCCACCCACATATTAAATGATTACAAAAAAGAAATGAAAGAAGCCGTTTGACTGGTTAATTCAAAATTAAACAAGTCAGGTGTGTTTACAAACACAAATGCCCCGCAACGGTGACAGTTCCCATGACATAACACCACTCTTTTAACATCAACTTACATGTACCTTGGTCACATGGAACATTCATTGACAGCATTAGTGTCTTCTGTAGGTTTTATATGAATTAATCCCTAATCCCTATAATCTCAGAATAATTACATAGAATTCTATTGTTTTAGCCACTGTGAACTTGACCCTTGACCTTTTGGCCCCAAATTCAATAGGCTTCTTAGGATTACCAAGAACAATCCACAAACCAAATTTGAAGTTCATATGTTAAGTATTTCTCAAGTTATCGCGCTGACAAGATTTCTATTGTTTTAGCCACTGTGAACTTGACCCTTGACCTTTTGGCCCCAAATGCAATAGGCTTCTTAGGATTGCCAAGAACAATCCACAAACCAAATTTGAAGTTCACATGTAAAGTATTTCTCAAGTTATCGCGCTGACAAGATTTCTATTGTTTTAGCGACTGTGAACTTGACCTTAGGCCTTTTGGCCCCAAATGCAAAAGGCTTCTTAGGATTGCCAAAAACAATCCACAAACCAAATTTGAAGTTCACATGTAAAGTATTTCTCAAGTTATCGCGCTGACAAGATTTCTATTGTTTTAGCGACTGTGAACTTGACCTTTGGCCTTTTGGCCCCAAATGCAATAGGCTTCTTAGGATTACCAAGAACAATCCACAAACCAAATTTGAAGTTCATATGTTAAGTATTTCTCAAGTTATCGCGCTGACAAGATTTCTATTGTTTTAGCCACTGTGAACTTGACCTTTGGCCTTTTGGCCCCAAATGCAAAAGGCTTCTTAGGATTACCAAGAACAATCCACAAACCAAATTTGAAGTTCATATGTTAAGTATTTCTCAAGTTATCGCGCTGACAAGATTTGTCCGGACACACACACACACCCACCCACCCACACACCCACCCACACACCCACCCACACACCCACCCACGGAAGGACAAGGCGGAAACAGTATGCCCCTTCGGCTTCGCCGCGGGGCATAAAAATTCTACTGATGCATAAATTGCACGGTTTGTCATCCATACCCAGTGTTGATCTACATGTCAGAAAGGTTTATCAAATATAATAATAATAATATCGGAGTCTTATATAGCGCACGTATCTACCAACTATTAGGTACTCAAGGCGCTGGAGATATTTCTATTACTAAAGAAAGGTAAATTAGTTTATGAGAAATATGAGCCCCATTATGTAGCACCTTTATAAGGGTTTACAAGGTGCTGTGGCGCATATTGCAACCACTACCAGAAACACCGAGGCAAACCCCTTCTCTTAGTGATGAGTGTTACTGGGTTAGTAAGATTTGAGGCTTTGCATGGTGGAGATACTAAATAATGAAAGGTTTGCGGAAACACCATGTGCGAATAATTTCTCAACTAAGAGAATGGTTCTGAAAAGAACCAGAGGTATAAACTCGACGTTCCTAGAGCTTGCTCTAGGATCCCGTCTACTTGGCATCCTCACAGGATGCAACTTCACACTTCATTGATTTCGCCTTTTGCTACTTAAGTATTCACTTTCTTAGAGTTTAGGCACTCTCCTGAAGACGGTCAGAGCTTACTGACCGGAACGTCGAGTTTATACCTCTGGTTCTTTTCAGAACCATTCTCTTAGTTGAGAAATTATTCTCACATGGTGTTTCCGCAAACCTTTCATTATTTGTTACTGGGTTCTTTAACGAGCATTACACAACACACGGTACCTACGGCTTTACGTCCCATCCGAAGGACGAAGCAATAATGGTAAAGTGCCTTGCTCCAGAGCACAAGCACCATGTTCCCATGGTCAGGATTCGAACCCATGTACCACAGCACACGATTCGAACACCATAACCGTTGGACCACAGCACTATCCATGTTTGTACCTTGTAGTCTTCCTTGCTTGTATTTTGTCTGATGAATGCTTTATTATGACCAGCTCTTTCCTTGAGGGACTCAAGGGTCCATCCAGCCGCTGGCCACTTACTAGCCACATCAGTTATAATGACTGGAACATCTGTGGAAGGAAAACATAAATGTATGCTAAGGCCAAAAAAAAAAATATTCGGTCAGTAGAGGCTAGAGCTAAGCCTTAAGGCTAACTTCCGCTAAACATGCTTAGCAGCCTTATGCAACTTGGAAAGACTCCCACATCTGGCCATCACAAATTTTTCCGGGCAAAATGTTGCGACCTGACACCACTTCAGCGGTTGTGAACAAAGTCTATGGACATGATGGAGAGTCAAGAACATTTTCCAAGTATTTCCTAACAAAATTGGAAATGCTTCTCACTCCCAGATTCATGTCTTATCATCATTTTTGCAATTACTGACCTTCATTGACATGATTGAGATGATATGAAGAAAAAAGTGGCATCAGGTTGCAATTTTTTTCCCATTTTTCCCTTCAGTGTCCTTTCACTAGTTTCAGCCATCAGAAAGGAATAATATTTCCTAAAAAGGGCGATCGTGTAGTGTAGGGCCCCTGTTTTGTTTTGATCAAATTAGAGTCAAAAAGATTTGTATTGCTCAAAAATCACCTTTACAATCAAAAGCAGACTTTTCTCTATTCTTATGTACAGTAATGCTGGCCAACCCAGAACAGACTGGACAACGGCCTTAAAACCGACATGATGAGTAATGACACCCGTTGTGCAATTTTGAACAGTTTCTTGGGGTAGAAATCACGATTTTCCTGTGCAGTTTGTGCCTTGCGATTCAGCGCGCCGTGTGTGCTCACGGTACATCGCGCGGTGATAGCCATCTTTATTTTCGGGCTGCGTGTTGTCGCCGTGCTGTCATCCTCATTTTACCACCAAAATTTCCCTCAAAAAATCAAAACCTTGCCCTCTATCTATGAAGTATGACAATTATTTGACATACCTGTTTATCGAGTAGTCTGAGTAACTGGGACTATACGGATCGCTTTTTTAACATTTGGACATGGTCGGGCGATGGTAGAGTCCGAGATCGATGGCCCTATTGCGGTTACTAATAATTTTTTTTGACCATTTTCACTCGTACCCCCGATCAAAATCGTCGGATTTCACCCCCAAAACGGTCGTCAAACTGCCTAGTGTGCCCCTGTAGGCTTCAGTGGGAAGTGAAAATACAAATGATGGTGGTTAGGTGTACATACCTTTGGGAAGAAAAGAGAAATTTCACCTTCAATTCGGGAAACATCTTTGTCACACATGCCTTGTTTGAGGCTGCCATTTTGGGGTGAAATCTGACGATTTTGATTGGGGGTACGAGTGAAAATGGTCAAAAAAAAATTAATAGCAACCGCAATAGGGCCATCGATCTCGGACTCTACTATCGCCCGACCATGTCCAAATGTTAAAAAGCTTGCAGGTCAACTCGGTCCATGACCAACTCGGTCCATGACCAACTCGGTCCGTGACCAACTCGGTCCGAGTCAACTCGGTCCGTAACCGACTCGGTCCGTGATCAACTCGGTCCGTGACCAACTCGGTCTGTAACCAACTCGGTCTGTGACTGACTCGGTCCGTGACCAACTCAGTCCGTAACCAGCTCGGTCCCTATGGGAAAATGTATGCTAAAAGATTGCATTTTTTGTAACAAGGCAATCCCATCCAGACTGTATTTTAGGCGGCCTTCTCCCGCTGAGCTATGGTTGCGTGGACAATCAAAATCCACATAGGGCCCTAGTCCTACATGTAAAATATTTAAATGCTGCTTTGCCGTTATTCACTGCCCATACCCCACTGTCAGTGACATCCTAGACCTTACGATTACAGTCTTATTTATTGCGGCCAGGCGCAACACTGTCACCGGTGCACCGGCTGTGCATCAAGGCAATGGCCGGGTGGGGCTATGCGGCCAGGCGCGGCACTGCCAAAGGCAGTGCACCGTGCTGATGGCCGGTCATGCACCTTGGCGATGGCCGGTGGGGATGGATGTGCGGCCAGGCGCGGCACTGCCCGGGCACCGGCCGTGCACCGTGCTGATAGCCGGTGCCGGGATGTGCGGCCAGGCCGATGGCCGGTGGGGCTGTGAAGAAGGGCGGCACTGCCACCAGCCGTGCACCGTGGCGATGTCCGGTGCGGGGATGTGCGGCCAAGCAGCGGCACTGCCACCGGCCGTGCACCGTGGCGATGTCCGGTGCGGGGATGTGCGGCCAAGCAGCGGCACTGCCACCGGCCGTGCACCGTTCCGATGGGGCTGAGCAGCCAGGCGCGGCAGTGTCACCGGCCATGCACCGTTTTAATTTTCTTCACAAAGTCCAAACGCACCCAGCTGGATATATGCCCAAGGCCCGCCGCGCGCCGGGTCGTACGGGTGACCGAAGGGCCGGTGTAGCGTGAATATCCGACTATGATGAAATGTGGACTCATAAGTAGTACTGCGCACACGTGAGTACGATACTATGCTATTTTTAGGATCGTTTTGGGAGAGTGACCTGTCACGTGCGAGGGATCAACCAATAATAGGGAAATAGGGGTCCGATTTTCATAGGAGTCGGATTTTCATGTGACGGCAACCCGGCATGCTGCGGCAGCACAGCCTACATGTACGTAGCCTCGGCACACGTACACGTGTGTCGTGCGTGATAGTTTTATTTCAAAGCTCTTATTTTTATTTAAGCTCCACAAGCTATCCCAGGCCCGAGCCGTCCACATGCTACCTACAAATTGAGGCAACAGAAACTATAAAGTGCGTACGGAGATCTGGAATAAAAGCGCGCACTCGAGACCGCCTTGCCTTGTTACAAGAAAATGCAGTCGTTTTGCGCACATTTTCCCAAAGGGACCGAGCTGGTTACGGACCGACTTGGTTACGGACCGACTTGGTTACGGACCCAGTTGGTCATTGACCGAGTTGGTCACGGACCGAATCGGTCAAGGACCGAGTCAGTCACGGACCAAGTTGACTCGGACTGAGTTGGTCACGGACCGAGTCGACCAGCACCCGTTAAAAAGCGACCTACGTCGAGTCCTATTCGAACTATTTATTGAGAATGTCGCCAACTAGTTTGGTCGATCTAAACTCTAATAATTTTAAAGTGGATTTTGTTCCCTTATAGGAACCGGGCCCTACACTACACCATACACGATCGCCCTAAAAAGTCCATTTTAGCAGGGGAAAATGTTGCAATTTTTACTGAGAAAACGCTTTAAAAATTTTCAGACCAGTCTCATTCATATCATTGGGTTAAAATTTATGATGATGGCCAGCTGCACCCGATTTCATCAAACTCTTCTTAACTTGCGATGCATCGCAGCGCTGCGATGCGTCGCATCTCCTACGATGCGTTAACGAGATACGTAAGTGCGACGCGTCGTAGATGTATTTATAGCACAACTCGGTGACTGTTTTATGTCTTTAGTCAGCGTACAGTAAACAGTCGTCTGATATTCAACATACAGTCGTCGGATCTCAGCTCGAAATTTGTTAAAACGTAAAACAAAATGGCGGCTGTGCGATGCAATTTTGAAGGAAAACAAGCTCTCATTGGACTGTATGGCTACTTTGAAATTTCAACTCTAATATTCTGGTCTAATTCATAATTATTCAATGAATTTTCTATTTACAACTTTACACACATTGGCATTGCCTCGGTATTGTAATCTCGTTAATGTAATGTTTATGGCATAAAACTGGCTTAGAAATGACTCTTCTTATTTTGCGATGACGACTAGACACGTCGTAACTTGCGACGTGTTTTAAGCCTTTGTCAAGAAACTTACGACGCGTTCAACACATCGCAACTTTCGTGAAATGGAAGATACGATGCGTCGCGAGTTGCGACGTGTTACACGTCGTAACTTAGCCTTGGTCAATGCTCTCGTCGTTATTCGTCCCGTACGCGGTCAATCGTCGGCACATATCCTCACGCGCTATGCACATGCATGTAAAAATACAGCGCGAACAGCGACCTCACGAGGCCACTATTTTTATATGCAAATCAGTTGGGGACGATCGAGAGCCTTGGTTCAATCGTCGGCAAAAGCTATAAATGTTTTTCTTTATTTTGCGCTGGATTTCTAGCGCACGACCTCGTATGCGAATACAGATAAGTGTAGGCGGGGCTAATATGTGGAGTGTCCAATCACACCTTGGTAAATCCGGACGTCATCAAATTATTTGCAGCTATTCGCCTTTTGCGGACGTGACAGGAACCACAGTTTTTGTGCATTGGTGCCGTGTGCAGAGACACACAACGTGTACGTGTATGGATTATGTACGGTGCCACGTTTCACTATGCAAGTTTCCACGCAACGATCGACCAATAAGAAAACGACATTTAAGGTCAGCTAAGGCTATTAACATAATGAGCACCACCCCTAAAACCTCACATGGACGATTGAACCAAGGCTCGACATCGTCCCCAACTGATTTGCATATAAAAATAGTGGCCGCATGAGGTCGCTGTTCGCGCTGTATTTTTACATGCATGTGCATAGCGCGTGAGGATATATGCCGACGATTGACCGCGTACGGGACGAATAACGACGAGAGCATTGACCAAGGCTAGTCGTAACTCGAGTTGCGACGCGTCGCAGCGCTTCGTGAAATCGGGTGCAGGGAATGTTTCCCAAAGTTTTTAGAAGTCATGCAACTTGGCCTACTGTATTGTTGATGTACCCTAACGTGGCGCGGCCCCCAACGTGGCGCACTTTGATTTTTCGCCTGTAGCGCCTACCTAGAGCAAAAGTTTTAACTGAGATTTCACAGAAAGTGAAATTTCATCAAGTTCTAAACACTCCTGTTCATAAATCGCGAGTTCATTACCCGTAGCAAAGTTCGAAGAAAAATTTATTTTGGCGTGATTTTCCGATTTTATTTTCAAGTGCAAAGTAAACCCTTTGAAAATGCCCCGAAAAATAAGAAAATAATTTTCTGACAAACATCTGGCTGGGTATGTAAGTACAGATAATAATTATTTATCAGAATTTATCAAGTTTACAGAAATTTTTAAGGCAGTGGATATTTTGCCGGAGACGGCAAACCTTTAGTAAACGTTAGTTTGCCAGATATGCACTGAACATGCGCAGTTACTGTTTTTTTGTACTTAAAACATTTTACGGTGACAAATTTTAGTCTGGCTCCATGCCAATATTATCGTTGTAACCTCGTATTCACAAGATGGGATTCAGACCATTTTATAATTTCGGACTTTATTTCCCTTTAAAAAAAAATCCTCCAGAGCCACAAATCTGAAAAAGAAAATGTAATACTCTGCAATAAAATGTTTGAGACATGTTAAAATAAGATAGTGAATATTTTGCCGGAGGTAATGACGGCAAACTAACGATTACTAAAGGTTTGCCGGCGGCAATCCATATCAACAGAGGGCGCTGTACTCTTTAAAATAGGGCTGAATTATAAGATGTATTAAATTCCCACCAAAAGTTGTGTAGCACGCTCGGTGGAATGGTTAAGCAAAGGCTCTAGAAAGCGGATGACTCGCGTTCGATTCCGACCGCACCACATTTTTAAGGTTTTTTTTCTCATCCCCAAATAAATAAGAATATTCTTCTTTTATTATTTTAACATGTCTCAAACATTTTTTGCAGAGTATTACATTTTCTTTTTCAGATTTGTGGCTCTGGAGGATTTTTTTTTAAAGGGAAATAAAGTCCGAAATTATAAAATGGTCTGAATCCCATCTTGTGAATACGAGGTAACAACGATAATTTTGGCATGGAGCCAGACTAAAAATGTTTAAGTAAAAAAAAACAGTAACTGCGCATGTTCAGTGCATATCCGGCAAAATAACGTTTACTAAAGGTTTGCCGTCTCCGGCAAAATATACACTGCCTTAAAATAATAAAAGAAGAATATTCTTATTTATTTGGGGATGGGAAAAAAAAACTTAAAAATGTGGCGGGGGTTGGGATCGAACCCGAGTCATCCCGCTCACTAGAGCTTTTGCTTAACCACTACACCAAACGTGCTTCAACTTTTGGTGGGAATTTAATACATCTTGTAATTCAGCCCTATCTTAAAGAGTACAGCGCCCTCTGTTGATATGGTTTGCCGCCGGCAAACCTTTACTTAGTAAACGTTAGTTTGCCGTCATTACCTCCGGCAAAATACCCACTATCAATTTTTAAATGTTAATTTGGAATTTTCCGCGATTTATTCAAGTGCGCCACCACGTTAGGGAACACCCCGCCAATTTGTGCCCAATTTCCGGACGCCACCGTTTTTGAATTTCAGATTAGATTTCAGGAAACCGAAATTGTTCACAGAGGTTAAATAGCAAGCATTATCATGATTATGCATTAATAAGGTAAAAGTAACTAGTAGTAGTACTTTACTGCATGAATTTGAGGTTTGGCAACACTACACGAGGAAATTCGGTAGTCCGAGTAACTTGGACCCAACTTATCGCCTTTTTTAACATTTGGACATGGTCTGGCGATAGTCCAAAATGTTAAAAAAGGCGATAAGTTGGGTCAAAGTTACTCGGACTAGGTCCAAGTTACTCGGACTAGAAATTCGGGTAAGCTTCGCCTTCGAAGTGCGCCACGTTAGGGAACACGACTATAGTACTGACACTACTGATCATACACCTTTCTTGAAGTACTCCACATTGAATTCCGCAGCTGTCAGCGCAGAAACTCTTGCAATTTCAACAACTCGCTGCTTTCCTTCCATAATGCCTGGGATTTGTGTTCTCTCGTCATGGGATTTTTCAGGTGTTTACTCTTTTCTGATGAATGTTCTACGTAGCAGATAGGGCGCCCTCACTCACGCAAAGTACAAAATGATTTGTACTGCAGATATATGCGGACATCGCGACGCGTGCTAGCTGCTGACCTGCTGTATTATGCTAGCTGCACACGAAAGTTTGTTGACAACTTGTGCAGTTTACATTGCGTCGAGTTGGGCCTGTTCGATGTGCTGAACTGGTCGTAAAATGTACAGCTGTACAGGTAATACATATTATATCATGATTCATGTTGTCGTTTACTTTGAGAATTAAATACGAATTTTAATAGTTAATGTTCACAAGAGCTTGGAACATGTGGAAGTTTAGTCATGTTAGTTTGAGTTTGGATACCGTACTCAGATAGGCCTAGCTGGAGTTACCCAGCCCTGAATTGTATCATTGGGTTGTCATGTAGGCCCAATGATAAAATTCAGGGCTGGGTAACTCCAGCTAGGGTAGGCCCTACCCACTTTGTCATGTTTATGCCAATGCGCGCTCATTCATGTCATTGTCGAATTTCGTTGGCTTGATGATTTCGGGCTTCTCAATCGATCGATTTTCTGTGAGTGGGTCGTTCTGTTTGTTTGTTTGTTTGTTTGTTTGTTTGGGTGTTGGCTGTTTGTTTGTTTGTTTGTTTGGGGGAGGGGATGGGAATGTAAATTTTTTTTACAATTTTAATGTGACAAATACTTTTTATTGAAGCATACTACTACTAGTACTAGCATAGAGCAAGGAACGGAAAAAATTCCGTACTCGGACGTCACCTTTTTCAATTAATTTTCTAGCGCCAAAAGTTACATCTTTTATGGTTATTCCTCCACTTTCCCTCCTCTACTCTCACCCTCTCCTTTCCTTAATTTCTATTTATTAATCAGTCAGTTACTTCATCGGGATTCGAACCTCTGACGCGTGCTTGACACACGAGACTCTTAACCGCTAGGCCGCGCACGATCGCTGTTGCAATAATCAATCTTTGGACGTATTTGAAGTATCAATTGAAATAAACTAAATATTCATGAGAAAATAAATATTCATAATGACGTATTGCACTATCATTGGCAGGCTCATGCGACGTCATGGTTGTTGATGTCACGTGTATAACGTACCGCTGTCTTTCAGCCACTACAATCAGTTTTGACCGGCTGCTTCAAGTTAGTTCTGCACGACGTATGCATCCAAAATGTGCTCTAAAAACACATTTTGAGTAAATTTTTTTCACCTTAACACAGCTTCCTGGATTTCTCTTGGTTCAAATGACAAGGTGAGGTGACAATTAATATGTTTGGCAGCAGATAAATTGACGTCCGAGTATGGACATTCTCCCCAAGGAACAGTTCTCTATGATTGAAGTAGGTGTCAGACTTTCTGTCAGTGTCGGATGTGTTTTTATGATCGGGAATAAAGAACCAATCGGAAAGAATGTACTACGTTGCGACAGTTCCAGATTGCTTTTTATACAAACCGCTGTACGCCCGCTCATGTTCAGGGTTTTTTCCCCTCCTCTTCAAGGTAAAACCAAATAGGTATGTGCACGTATACAGACTCAACTTTTTTAAAGGGAAATAAAGCCATGTTTTGTACTGATTTCGGCAGTTGCGGATCACTTTCGACAGTTCCAGATCACGCCCCACAAGCTGTGAGTTTCATCAGCCCTATATTTTATCGTTGGGTTGTCTTATATGACAACCCAACAATGAAATATAGGGCTGAGGTAACTCCAGCAACGTTACATGTACAATTTCATCATTCATTGCAAGCTCAGCAAGCCTTCATCATGTATTAAACTGCACATAATGTGCAAGTGTAACCTGAAAAATGACACACTTTGGGGAAACTCCACTAAAAAAGACTATGGGATTTTACCGATCAAACTAAACTTAACGCAGGATCTTTGAAAAGAAAGGTCGCAAGGAAATTGAACTATAAGAGACATGTAACATGATTTCAAACCAAGAAAAGAGCAAAATGAATTTATTTACAAAAACTTCAAAAGAAAACCAAAATGACCAAATAATTTTAAACCAAACCAAAACCACAAAAATCAAGTCTAGTAATACTTAGTAAAGACTAAAGTTGACCTAAAAACCAACACAGTGTAAATTTAGTGGACCATCTACACTTCTGGAAGAAAATCATAAACTTTAGCAGATCAAATGCCCACAGCACAGGGCACACCCATAAACATCACAGGGGATAGAGAGGAAGCTCACGAATAATGTGCAGCTCTCTTCGCTGGTCTGCTACATGTGATCTTGTGGGGTGCCAGAGCATGGTCTTATCTACTAAGGGACTTTTTTTACTCTGCACATCTGTACATACTGCATCTGCACGCATTCACACACACACCACAGTGCGACTATACTCATCCTTTGAGGACTGCACTCTATGGAAGGAAGGAAGGGTCGTGTTACTGGGGAACGGGGAAAAGGGTTTTCAGGTACACACTAAATGGTGGGGAGAATCACAACTGTCTCAAGTAGGATATCAATCTTTTGGCAAATACGGCAATTTGAGTTAATTTAAGTGCCCAAATCGTTACATTAAACTTGAGAATATGTCCGTACAAGAAATGGAATAACAGTGACGAAAAATGATTTTAAATGTTGCCTACATCCCACAGGAAACAAGATCTTGGTCTTTACGCGCTTCATTTCCCAGGTCAGTACAAAACGCAGGGATATTTTGCTGAACTGGATCGTGGGTAATGTTTAAGCAATTTCCAACATTTCTTTTCCCTGACAATTGCAAAAAGATAGACCTTCAGATTTGTGAAAAAAAGTCAAAAAAAGTTTGGTTACACTGTAATTCGTTTTTATTTAATCAAGTGATCCGGAAATCTGTCCATCCAGAACTGTCACACTCGCTATAGTGTCCAGACGCTACTTCATCAGCGGTTGTGTACAGAGTCTATGGTGTGTCAAGACATTTTTTTAAAAGTATTTTCCTAACATAACAAAATTGGTCCCAGATTCATGTCTTTTCAATATTTTGCAATGACTGACCTTTATTGAGATGATGTATGAAGAAAAAGTGGTGTTCAGTTGCAACATTCCTTCCAACCATTAAGTTGACAGCTGATGCCTAACATACATGTAGCCATCATTTTTTTTTTCGTCAGGCACTGGTTGAATGTGTATCATGTGTACAGCCATCAATGAGAAAATATTGAAATGTTCAATAAAGGAATTCTTCAGAATTTTTTAGGCCTTAACAAAACAATATCTTTGGTTCAGGTCACATGGTTAGGAAAAAATGGGTCAGATCGAAGTCGGTCGGCATGACATTTTATTTTATTTTTTTATTTTTCTGGAGCCAAAATGTAAGGACCGATAATGGTTTAAATTGTACCCAATCTGAGTGTTTTGGGATGATTTTTGAGACATGTTATACATGTAGTTTTATCGTAAGAAGTTTGTAAACTTGTTCAACCATAGAGCAAGGAGCATGGGTCTACCACTGTCGTGTCGACGTTCTCTATGCTTCTCACTGGTGTGTCAGTTTGGCCTCTAACACTACAGCGATATCAGTTGAAAACTTGGCGTCAACTTCCCCATGGTTTTTCACAAAGAATTCCCTGAATGTTATTTTGAGATTCCACTGGAATAAATTTACTTTCTGTTTTTGGAATATGTTCACATTCAACGTCTAGAGCAAATTGCAGTCTTTGTAGAATGATATATCGCATAACAAGATTTTCCTAAATACGCGATGTCAACAAAGACTTGCTTTCATCAACCTAAAAGTGTTTAGTTTAAAAACAAACTTACAGTAGGCCACGCTGTTTTCTTGCAGATAATAGGCCTACCAGACAGACACAAAATTCAAAAATTGGGTCGGTCGGGTGACCCAAACCAAAGGTATTTTTGTTAAGTTTGGCCTTACAGAAGTGGCATTGTATTTAAGCTTTTGAATAGTAGACCTTGTGGCAACAATAGTGAATTGGTGGTCTGTACCCTTGGAAAATGACTCACAAATCTTTTATTGAATGCTCATGGTACGGATACTTTCGCTGATGTGAATAAAAAGCTGATTTTTCAAGCAATTTTGTTTTGAATTGTAGTCTTAAACTGACTTCTGTGACCAAGTTCCAAGTTTTAGTTATTGTTGCAAGTTGTTGATGTTCAAACAAAGTATTGAAATGTGCATATTTAAAGCTACATGTATATACATTTGTACATTATAGTTTGTGCTTTTAGATTGTCTTGATCTGTTTAAATAATGCCCTAAATTTGGTTTTAGAAAATATCTTTACACTTTACACTTAGGCTCAATCAGTCATGCTGAGAATGGAAAAGTTCCTGAAAAAAACTGATTCGTGAAGTCTTAATAATTTGTATGGTATTGTGAGATTATTGATGGTCATATCGGTACATGTACATGTATAGTGTCTTGTGTAAAGGTAAAGTACAGTTTGACATTCACTATTTTGGGAGCTAAAGTGATTATAAATGTGATGAATCAGGTTAATTTGGCCATACAAGCTATTTCTGTTGGCTTCATTTTATTCTAAGAATTGTGTACACGTATTGTGTACAAAGTGTCGATTTCTGACGTGACTTATGACTGCTGAATATTTGAAGCAAGGAAATTTGAAGCAAGGAAATCGCTGGCTACGGTACCTCCATGAGATAACCATGTTTATGTGTGCCGCTGTACTTCATGTACTTACAAGGGTCGTATGGATAAAATGTACTTACCATGCTTACTGATCACTTGGCACAAAGCCAGTCTGAGGATCCCAAAATTACTGATACAATTTTGGTAATGTATCATTGCTTATAAAGTTTCATGTCATTTCCATTCATGGCAAGCTGAACACGACTGGCTACAACGTAGTTAAGGATTACAGAACTTTACATGTATTGTATGCATGGCAGCGCTTAGGGAGCTGGAGGACAGGGGGTGTCTAAGGAGGGCATTTAAAGAAGAGTCAATAAATCTATCAGGATTCAAACGATACATTTGCACCTCGCTCCACTAGCATTACATGCATTGAGTTCTTGTGCACAGTTTGTTACAGCCCACTCCATTGATACACACCCACTTTCAATATTTACTTAGCTTCATGTCATCTATGGCATGTGTGCTAGCCTAGATCTACTGTTAGTAACCAGCATGGTCATTGTCATCCAGGCGTTAAACACACTGAGATATGCTGGTATGCTAGTTAGCAGTGAAGCAGTAATTTACATGTAGATGATAATAGTGGTGTAGTGGGAGTGG